GAGTGAGGAGCAACCTGAGGAATCCCAATGGCTTTCTCTGGGAACCTTTTAAGTCTGTTTCTGAGGTTGGAACATGAAGTCTGCTCCGCGCTGGTGTCGTGGCAGGGCTGTGAGTGAACTGAGGAATGGGTCTGCTCTAGAGTCAGCGTATGGAGGCTTTGGACTCTTCTTGAGAGGCTTCCGGAGGATGAGGAGGGGCCAAGGGTGCTCCCTGCTTACGGAGGAACAGGCCTGGGGGAATCCCACCCGCAGTTTCGTTGGCATGCTTGGAAGATGCTCTGGAGAAGCTTCGTTTGACGCTGTTGCCAACCACTGCAAGCAAGGAGAGTTTTTGCAGACGCCTGGTACTGAGTTCAGGGCATGGCCAGCGGAACAAATCCGAAGTGTATGTCTGGCCTTCCCTGAAAAGATGAGAAAAGCATGCGTGTGTGTGTTGGGTCATGCCGCTTGTCAGCTGCTCCAGCTTGTCCTGGCACTTCCTCCGTTCCGCCGTGCCGCGCTTCGGGAATGGGAGTTTCCAACCCTGCTGAGGTGCGCTGGCTGAGGCTTTCAAGACAGATGCCACATTTGAACTTTGAGATGTGAGCAAGCCTTCCAGTGAAAACAGACTTTAGGCTGTGCCCGACGGAAGATTAACAGGATTTTTTGTGCATATGAGTGAAAGAGCTGAGTGCCTGGCAAAAAGCGAGTTGGTCTGAATTCTCTTCTCGCGGGAAACTTGTGCCTCTCCAGCAGCAGCTCACAAGCCTGTGGGAAAAGTCTGAACGGATGGAGGGGGAGACGGTGTGTGGCTGAAGCAGGGATTGGTTTGCAATTCCCCCAAACCAAGCTTCTCCTGCTTTCTTTTCTTTACTTCTCTAGATCCCCTTTTGCTACAAGCTCCTCTCACTTTGCAGAGTTCCAAAACTCTGGCATTGATCTACTCCCGATGCACCGTATTGCCTTGGTTTATCTGGTGTGTGCTGCTTTTGTTGCCAGCCTTTAATTACAGCCCCTTGTGCGCCCTTATTCCCGCCTGCCAGCGTTTGCAAAGTGGGATGTGCTGAAACGTCTAAATTTGGCCCAGGGCTTTTCTTAGGTTTCTCTGGAAATCTCAAGGGGAAATACATTCCTGAGGCCCAAATACTGCTTTATCTTTTCCTTACAGGTAAGGGAAGGTAGGTCTGAGCAGCACCTGACTCAGTGGAGCTGTTGTCCTCTAGGGTCTGTGGTGCAGAGAGTTGCAGGGGGGCATAATCCGTCACTGCAGGCTGGATGGTGAGATTCTCTGATGGTTTTGAGCTGCTGGTGGGGTTCTGTGGTGGCTTTGGGCTGCTGGTGAGATTCTCCGGTGGCTTTCGGCTGCCCTTCAGCTCTATCAGCAGGTGGAGTCCTGGGGCCTCCCTGGCCTCCCTGGAGAGGTATGTCTGAAAACACACACTGCGAGTGTTTGCCAGGAGATAACTGCATTCCAGGGAGGGACTCTTTTGTCTTGCTAAAATCGAGGAAATCTGATCAAAGTGCAACCTTGCTTTAGACTTTTTCCTTTTTCTTTTTGACTTTGTCCCTGACCTACATATTGGATCCTGCCACGCTGGTTGGAAGTAATTGAGACCCTAGTGTTAGGCTATTTACCAAGCTGTTCACTTGAAAATAACCTTTCTGTGTCCAGTCCACACCTGTTTGGGGATAATTTTGGAGGCAAATAACAAACTGCTATTAACCCTTTCAGCCTCAGAGCAACCTGCTCAAGATCTAACTGTGGAGGTGGGTTAGAACTTCACTGATGCCGGAGAGAATTTGTGACGCGGGGAGCGCTTCGCTGGTCTTTTCCCAGCTCCGTGGATGATTCCAGCCAGCAGCTGAGGCCAGGCCTGCGACGTGTCCACATCCACATGAGGACACTTCAGAGACCTTGTAAAAGTTCCCGCTGGGCAGTTGTTGGTTTGGTGTTGAGTCTGCTGGACCAGAGGCTGAGCTGGAAAATGTGTGCGTGGGGTAATTTTCTTTGTTATCCCAGTGGTTGTTTCAGATTAAAGGCTCTGTTTTGAAGGGGCTGCTAGTCAGTTGCCTAGAAAACTTGCTTTCATTTAATTTAATCATGATGACTTTAGTCTGGAGGTTTTTGTAGGAGAGAGCAAGCAAGCATATCCTTGGCTTCTCTCCCTTGGAAGCTAAGCAGGGTTTCATGTCTGAAACTGCAGCTCTTCTGTCTCCCCAGGTCGACATCCTTCTCTGTCCTTCGGGTTTTTAATTTTACAAGCCGTGTGCTTGCAAAGGTGGATTCAGTTTGAAGTCCATCCAGGTGTGGAATGAGGAAAGAACCGTCAAGAAGATTACAGGAGCTATTCTGCAACTCATTAACTCAATCTCTTCCCCTCCTTGTTATCTCCTCCCCATGCCCGGGGCCTCTCGAACTAGTGCTCTAAGTGCTTCTCACTTAATCTAGCCCACCTGGACAGGTGGATGAAGAAAGGAATTGCCTTCCGGGGAAGGACTAAAGGAGCAAAGATTGCAGAGGGAGCCTGCTTTTGGGAACTGCTAATCCCAGTTTAACATTATGACAGCTGCTCGTTAAAATCAGGGTGTTTTTTAACAGGCAGTTAAAGGAGAGGCTTTGCACGCACGTTTAGCTGAGAATAATAGCGAGCCATGTGCATTTGATTTTTTATTTTGATTTTTTTTTTTCCTTAAATCACACAAATTGTACATGGAAAGAATTCTCCGGCGTCAACTTGCTGGGGTATGGAATTTACAAGGTTTGCAGTAACATACAGTTTCCTGTTGAGGGGGGGAGAAAATTACAAAGCTTTCTTACCTTTTTTTTTTTTTTTGAGTTCAAGTTCGAACCTCTCCTATAAATGCAGCCTCTTTGGAAGGTATATACTTATTGTGATGGGATTTTTCAGTTCTCTCGGTGGCAGCTTGTCGTGTAAACTTGTCTAGGTTCTCGGTTTTGTAGTTTATAAGCAGCCTTTACATGTAGCTATAATTTTGTGTATGGTGAGAAGGCAGCATGCTGATCTAATTTGGGAGAGTCTATATACAAAGAAAGAAGCAAGAGGTTTCTTTGCCTTGGGGAGATGGCTGTTCCTTCCTAGCTGAACTTCAGTAAACTTGGTCTATTAACACGATTTTCTCTGCAGGACTGTGGTGTTGGATAAGAAACATGAAGAGCTGAGGCAGAGGAGGGACTATCAAAGAGACATTTGCTGTATTTTATGTCATTTCACCGCAGATTTTACCAACTGCCTCCCAGATCAGGGGGTTATTTGTTGCTTGGTTTCTTGTAGGCAATGCTGTGGAAGTAACAAACTCCAAGCCCCAGGATCCACTCAAGGAGCTGTGTCCTCTGCCAGCCCTCAGGCGTGAGGCAGGAAGGGCCGGTCAGTGATGCAGAAAGATATGAAATTGCCCCGGGTAGTTTTGTTGCTGGAAATCCTTGCTCCTGCAGCTACTTAGGTTCAGGCAAATTAATTTAACCCACCAGGACTGAGCAGCTAGCCTTGCAGTGGGAGTTTCTCTGCTACTTTTTTGGCAGCTCTGATCCAAATCATCTCTGGATGGGAACGTCCTTTCTGTCTCGTGGGAAATGCCGGTCATTCATGGCTTTTTTCTCAGCTGGCTGTGTTGCCACCTGAGATTTTCATGTATGTTTCCAACAGCCAAATTTGCAGCCATTCCCTCTCCGTTTGACAGAAATCTGGCCATTTCAGAGCTAGATATGAGCTGGGAATCACCCAGACATGCATCTTTAAAGGAGAAGGTTGTTGAGCATTGAACTCCTCTTTCTACCCAACACAACTTGATTCAGCCTCGAGGGATGGACGCTGCTGGTTTGACTCTGATAATGAACTGGACCTTGTCACGTGGTTTGGAGAAGGCATCTCAGTGGCATGGGGCTAATAGTCACAAGTCTTTTAAGATGATGGATGTAACTTTTAAGCTTTAGCATCACATCCCTTTACCACCCAGATTGAAAAGACTGAGATGTTACACTGAGTAATACTGTTTTTCTTCCTCCACATCCTCTTATCAGGTTGTAGAATACTTGCTGATGGGAACTTGGGCCATTTTTTAATTATTTTTTTAAAAAAATAATGTATGATTCTTTTTACATTGTATAAATGGCTTTAACTTCTGCTGTTCTCTGCTTTGTGATTATAACCGTGCTGCTCCTCTCTGCTCTTGCGGTATCAGGCCCCGTGCTGGAAGGCAGACCCGATGGTGTGATGTTGGCAAGCTGAGCTGGGAGGGCAGGAGGAGAATGCAGATTTCTCTGAAAGGGCGACTAAAAGACTGAGGCTGTAGGTTCAGGAAACCAGAACCCAAACTTCAAGTGGCAAAGGGGGATGCTCACACGTGTTTTTTTTCTGTTAGGGCAAATTCCTGTTGTGCCAAGACAGATTTTCTGTAACTTGGATTAAAAACAAGTGTGTGTGTGTGTGTGTGCACGCTTACATGCTTATCTGCAGATCGGAGCTTTCTAAACCTGCCTGTGCTCTAATTGCTGAACGCAGACTCCGCAGGCAGAACAATCCAGCCTGAAGTGATAATCCCAGGCTCAGCCCCGCGGGAGCGCCTGGCACTGCTCTGGCCTCATTTTCTTAATGGCTCTGCAACTTGCCGCTGGTTCGTAGGTGGTTTAAACTGTTGTCTCTGAGCACCTTGCCGAGCTTGGGCAGAGCTCTTAGGCTCGCTGATCCTCTAACAAAACCCATAGGTTGTAATTTATTTACTAACTTTTTTAAAACTTCTTCCTCTGGCCCTGTGTTAGGCCAAGCTTGGGCTTGTGTCAGCTCAAGAGACTCGCTGAAAAAGAGGTGCAAGCCCAGCCTGTGCTCCCTGCTGACATAGAGAGAGGAAAGTTGGAGACCTCGAGACTTCCAGTTGCCCCTCCTGCCTCCTCTGAACAACCCTTCCTTGCCCTCGCCGCTGCAGAATCTCCACCCGTGCAACCCCCTTCCCTTGTGCTAGAGAATTTCTTGTTTTCCTCAGCTCATAACCTGTGTCTGATTTAGTTTCCAGGCCGACCGCCCAGCGCTCAACGTCGTCATTTTCCCTCTGCTTCATGAGGACTTGACGGAGGTCATCAGAGACGTCCCCATGCGGCACTTGGATGAAATTACCTTGTTTAAAAGCAGAGTGGCTGAGGAACCTCCCAACTTGTGGTGGTGACTGTCACGGCATGGGAAGGACACTCAGCGTGAACATGTGAAATAGCTTCTTGTTGGCCTGGATTCCCCACCTTCAGCTCCTGGCTGCCTCACTGGATGCTATACAATCATTTTAAATAGATGCAATTGCAAAATAATAATAATAATAATAAAAAGCTGGTCCTTTGCGGTGGGGAATCATCTCTTGGATATTGCTTGCAACTGAAAATCCTGTCTCAAAGCCTTCTGGAATCTGATGAGTATATTTCTTTGCGGTTAATAGGAATTGTTTTGTTATTTTACTGAAGTTAAAGGTAAGAGAAACTGACTTAACGATGCTCTTTTCTCTGTGTCGCCTGGTGTATTTCCTAAGGGCCCCTGTGTACTGCGGCAGTGTGCTTTGTGGTAGTGGTGGAAATCGTTCTTTGCTTCGGTCTGTTTTTGGCAAAGTAGAAAGCCTAAGTCAGCTAAGAGGCACAAAAATGTGTTGCTCAATTGAAGTGCATCACATCTTTTCTATGTTAAAATAGGCATTTGTAGTCACACACATGCAATCACAGACGTTTGAAGGGGTTTTTGATTGAGAAATACTTTTTTTTTTTATTATTATTTTACAATATTGAATAACAAATTAAGGTCATTAGAGCCCCAACCATGGTGTGTTCTTGCTGATGCTGTTTCCATCGGTGTGGTGAAAGAAATTCTCGGCTCTTTTGGAAATCCTTGTCCTAGGGTAGATGGTGCCTGCAGTGACCAAGTTGAGGCTCAGATCTGATTTAAATGCAGTCTGTCGTGCAGTGTAGATGGGAATGTAGCGTTCCAGTTCTGTCCTTAGATCCCATGCCTTGAGCTCACACTAATTTTAGAGATGTTATGAAGTATTTTCACAGTGTGATTTCAGTCAGCTTCTCTCCTCCACAAAACTTCCTCAGGCATCAGTAGTGGTCTGGATCACTTTCATATTGCCTTATTTACTGAGAGCACTTTTGAAAGCATCAGACAGCTGCACCAAAAGCCAAGTTAGGAATTCCTGGAGCTACGTTTCTGGACAGCAGTCGGATTTCCCTTCTGCTGGAGTGTTCTGTGCTAGCGTGCTGGGTCTGTCTTCTGCAAAACAGCGATCGACCAGCGCTGCCTCACTTTTCTCCACTTAAACGCTCCCTGACGCCTCGAGCAGTGTTTTTCTGGGGAGGCCCAGCGTTGTCCAAAGATGATATCCCCGTCTCCTGGTTCCCATTTTCTCCATAAGATGCCATCTCCCTAAGATGCGGTGTTGTGCCGTCGCTGGTTCATGGGAAGCCTGGTCTGGTGGGATAGATTTGAGAGCAAAATGCACAGCTTTGGAGGATTTTCCCTCCTTGCTTTCCCATCAGGCGGGTGTGAGCCTGCCGGGAAATCCATCTTGCTGGTGTAAATCTTGAGCCAGGCTGTGGTGACCCTTGTGCTTCGGTAGGATACGGCGTTAACGAGCAGGTTAATGTTGGCCCAAGTCTGTGAGTTGCTAAAACTAACCCCTGCGCGCCTTTGCTGTCTGCCTGGAGTTTCTCTGCCTTCCCCGCTCAGGACGGGATGCCGGCAGCGGCTCTGGGGAATGAGGGGGTGAGGCCAGCTTGTGCTCCTCCAGCAAAGGCCGCAGCTGAGCTGCGATCGCTCCTGAAGCATCCGACACTAGGTCCGATCGTGCGCGGGGGAGCGGGAGCGGCTGGTGCCCTGTTCTTGGCATCCTGCCACTGTTTTCTCTCCCGCTCTCCCGACGAGGTCGTTCTTTCTCCCTCCTGTCATATTACTCGCCTGTTTGAATCCCTCTCTCCCTCTCCCAACAGCTTTCTTCTCTCCTTCTCTCTCGCTTCAGCAAATCGGATGTACTTTTGGCAGAAACATGAGCCGCTACTCTTTCCAGTTCAGGCCACCTCAGCCCTGCCTAGTTTCTCTTTCCTAGAATAAATAGCGAGAGCTGGGCAGCGAGTGTTCACAAAGCTGCTTTCTCCTTGTGCCCCTGGCCTTGCAGCAGGGTAGTGGAGGGAAGGCTGAGGGTCTGGAGCCAGCTCTGTGGTGCCTGAAGGGACCTGCTTTGTCCTGGGGAGGAATCCTGACGTTTGGTAATGTTCTGCAGGAGTGACGCCGTTCCCACCCTCAGCAGGGATTTCCCCTCCCGACATCTGCACTGTGGCACCGGCAAGCTTGGCAGAACCGCGAGCTCGATGGTTCCTGTGCTGGAAAAACCTGGATTTGGGGCTAGCGGTTTGCAGAAAACACCTGTTGCATAATGACAGTGTTAACCCTTCGGTCTTGGGGCTTAGAGTAACCCGGTGAAACGTGCTGTACCTGCAAAGTGATTCCCACCTGCCTCGTGCCTTGCTGGAGCAGGGCAGGCGATCAGGCATGGTTTATAACGCCGTTATTCTCTTGCCTGGAGTCTGATGTTTAGACATCTGTATCCACACACGCGGGTCAGGAGTCCCGGTGCAAACGCTACCCGTTGTAATCGGGGCTAGGAAAGGTCGCCCTCAGGTAATAAAGGTAGCGCCGCAAATAGTAATAAAGAGCTAAAAACTCCTTCCACCCCCGACTCCCCAACTCTGGGCTCGAGATCTCTACTACAAATCCTCTTATGGCGAGTTAGAATTTCCGCTGCTTCTGCACTCCAGGCAGGATTCACCAGATGTTAATAATGTGCTTATTTTCTCTAAGTGCTATTTTGGCATCGGTGTTAATTACAATTTATATTCTGCAACATTTACACTGGGAAAAGAACCCACCCTAATAGTCCCCAATTGGCAGAGCCGGGCTATTAAACATAGCACCATATGTTCTGAGCAGAGCAATATATGGGTCTCAGAGCTCGCTCGGTGCTGAAACTCCAGCGTGCGGTGTTAGAGGAGGAGAAGAGAATGGAGAGATGGGCGTTTTGTTCCTAGCTTTTATTTAATATGAAATTCCCCCTCCTTTCCTCTGGTGTCCATTCCCGTCTCTCCAGAAATCTCCCTCCCGCTGGCTGTGAGCATCTAATGAGGTGATCTCTGAGCCTGCTGATGCCACTGGCCGTCGTCTAAAATAAATGAATTCAATTACAGAAGGTGCCCTTCTCGCAGGGAGCGCCGGATTCCCGGACCCTGCTGGCGTGTTTCTTGCCGCGCTCCAAATCTGCTCTTTGGGGACCGCGGAAGAAATCTTTCGCTTTGACCACCGGCGAGGTGTCGGCGTTTTCTTTGGGAGAAAGATATTCTGGGACAAGTGCCATTAGCGCGTTGAATCAGAAGTTGGTTGCTGCTCTGCTGATGGCCAAAGTATTGTTGAGCGACGTGGCTTTTCTGCAGGCTGGGAGGGTCTAGAGCTGGAGAGTGGCGGTGGCTTTGATGTGAGGAATTGGGTGGGACTGTCACTGGTGTTTTGGCCTTGGAAAGACTTAGAAGGGCTGTAGGTTAAAGGATTGGTCCCACAGCCAGTCTGCAAATTGATCTCTTTAGAAAAGGGCAGCGTAGCCCCTGCTCGGTTGGGAAAGGGCCTTTCAGGAGAGCTTGGGCTGCAGTCGCTCGTCTGT